GAAAGGCAAGGGGGACATAAGATCGGGAAAAGAGGGCTCAGATTCCTGGAAGGAGACTGAAAGGGGAGAACCGCAAGGGGGAAAGTGTTTGAGTCCAACAGTTTGGCTTTTATGCGACTACAAGCCTCACCGTTGAGGTTTGGAGCGACTGTGAGGGAAAGCAGCAGAGGGAAGCCGGCAGCAACACCCTGAGGAGGGCGTGTGAGTGCAACGTTGTGATACTTGTGCTTGCTGTTCATATCACAAACACCCACCATTGGGGTTTGGGGCGACTGTGAGGGAGAGCAGCAAAGGGAAGACGGCAGCAACACCCTGAGGAGGGCGTGTGAGTCCAACGTTGTGATACTTGTGCTTGCTGTTCATATCACAAGCACTCACCATTGGGGTTTGGAGCGACTGTGAGGGAGAGCAGTAGAGGGAAGCCGGCCGCAACACCCTGAGGAGTGACGTCATGCACTGATAGCCTTGACTCGAGGAGGACTAGCAGCCTGTAGTATAGGCACCCACAACATGAGAGCAACACAAAGTAGGAGAGATGAGAGAGAGTTGCACACCTGGAGTGGTTGAGATGAACGGAAGTAATGACGGTGAGAAAGGAGAAGGTACGAAGGGGAGTCAGCTTTTATACGCACCTCAGAACTCAAATCTCAAAGCTCAAAGCTCAAAGCTCGAATCTTGAATCTTACCTGGAGTGGTTGAGACAAACAGCAGTGATGACAGTGAGGAAGGAGAGGGTAGCGAGGGGCGTGAGGGAGGCGGGAGAGGAGGGAAGAGCGTGTGTGTGAGTGAGGGGGTCAGGGTGGTGATGGAGAGGAGAATGAGAGGGGGAGGAGGAGGAAGGCGGTGGTAAGTTTGGATGGGCGATGGAAGCTAGATGCAACTCCCGAGGTGATAGATGTGGCTGAAGGGGTATGGGGAGAGAGGGAGTGGGGATGACGAGGGAGGGGGATGAGGGGGAGAGGGGATGAGGGGGAGAGGGGATGAGGGGGAGAGGGGATGATGAGGGATGGAAGATAGGTGCAGTTCTTGAGGGGATAAATGCGGCTGGAGAGGAGGGAGAACGGCGGATGGGGAATACGGGAGGGAGGATGACATATGGGGAATAGGGGATGGGGAATGGGGGAGGGAGAACGACGGATGGGGAATGCGGGAGGGAGGATGGCATATGGGGAATAGGGGATGGGGAATGGGGGAGGGAGAACGGCGGATGGGGAATGGGGGAGGGAGAACGGCGGATGGGGAATGGGGGAGGGAGAATGGCATATGGGGAATATGGGATGGGGAATGGGGGGCGGGGGTCCGAGGATGGGGGATGGGGAATGGGGAATGGGGGATGGGGGATGGGGAATGGGGGATGGGGAATGGGGAATGTGGAATAGGGGATGAGGGATGGGGGATGTGGCATGGCAGATGGAAGGGGAACACAGCAGGATAGGGTGGAGGGATGGGCGGATGAGGAACGGCCATGCAATAACACGGCTTGCAACCCTTGTTGCCGATCAGGGCTCTAGGCGGCCTAGGATTATTGGTGAAGGGATACAATGTGAAGGGATACAATGTGAAGGGATACAATGTGAAGGGATACAATGTGAAGGGATACAATGTGAAGGGATACAATGTGAAGGGATTCAATGTGAAGGGATACAATGTGAAGGGATACAATGTGAAGGGATACAATGTGAAGGGATACAATGTGAAGGGATACAATGTGAAGGGATACAATGCGCAAAATAGATGTGATGAAGTAGCCGTTAAAGTGCTGGTATAAGTCTAGGGAATGGCAAAGGGAATATGCTGACTTCGTCGCACCAACTGCAATAGAGCTATGAGCAGGCAAACTTCAGCGTCTGAGAGGGTTTTGAATCAAACAGGGCTTAAGAAATGCTAGAGGAGAGGTGCGAGCGAAGAGGGGAAGGGGTGGATGGGAGAAAATGTGAGGAGGGAGTTTTGAAGATTCTCAAAGGAGGGGGAGAGGGAGACGGGAGAAGAGGAGGAAGGATAAGGGGAGATACCGTGTCTCCCATGCCAACAAATGCAACCAACGGCGTTGCGCCACGTGGCGCGATGAGAGTGAGCTCCACAATCTTTATCAGGCCCACGCCCACGTGGCCCACGACAGGCTGCGCCACGTCAGCACAGCGGAATATCTTGAAACCTACTGACATGGCCACTGCCACGTGGCTTCACCCAAGAAGGAAAATCACAGGAAAGGGTGGGGGACGGAAATGGGGAGGGTGGAGAGGGGCAGGGGAGAAAGTGGGAGTGATGTAAGAAGGGAGAGACGGAAAACGTTTCAGAAGGTAAAATGGAAATCACTTTTGAGAATTCTCAAAAGTGATTTCCACAAAGTGGGAGTGATGTAAGAAGGGAGAGACGGAAACGTTTGAGGAGGTAAAAAGGGAGTGCGCAATTGAGGAGTCTACTGGCACTGAGTAAAGTCGATTGGCAAGGGGTTGCTGGGGGGACTGCAGAGAACGTACGTACGTACGGCCGTGCCTCTCTGCATGCACTAACCTGCCATCAGCCGTAAACGCAGCATAACGAATCTCCTCTAACACATATTCCCCTTTCCTCTCCCTCCCAGCTAATCCCGTCGGAGCTCCCGTTCCGCCGCCAGTCCGCTTGGCGCCACAACTGCTCGTAAACGCACGACCCATTCGACAGCGCGAATCAATCCTTGAAACCAGGCAGCATCATCCAACGGTGCGGATGGGCTTTTGGGGTCAAGCAGCGTAATCTAACAGTACGGCCCGTATGTTATGGGTTGGGACGCGTGCAGATATCGTCGCACGCAAACAGCGTCGCACGCGGAAAGCGTCGCACGCAGATAGCGACGCGCACAGATGGCGACGCGCGCAGATAGCGACGCGCGGATATAGCGAATCCGGGACTTGCAAGTCGTCCAAAAAACTATCCGAATGCCAGTCTACCCATCGCGCCTATGAGATTTGAAGTTGGCGTATTACCGGCATTAGGTAATTACCCTGAGCTTCTAGAGGTCCTTGCAACTCCCGCTCCTTGCTCAGCCATGCCCCCAATTCTTCCGTTGTCGCCTATTCTGTGATGCGTTTTTTGGGTTGCGAAGCAACCCTTTACGATCGATTTTGACAGTTTTTTTTTTCATGTTTTTTTAAAATAAAACATGAAAATAAAATCTGTCAGCTACAGTACTACCCTTCCCATTGTGCATGTTGAACATTTTTTTAAATATTGGTAGCTGTCTTAATAGTAGTTTTGTGCATAAATGCTCTACTGTTTGTATTATATCTTTTAATGTTTGATGTTGTTGTGATAATTGCATGTTGTGATAAATGTTGTGAATACTAGTAATGAATTACACGCCACGCATGCTTAAATGGATGTAATGATGAGGCACGATAAATAGATACATACCTAATACCGATACATGCATGAAAATGCTTTTGAATGCACTCATATGATATGCTGAAATGCACCACACCAGTATATCATACAAATGCGTGATAGTTAACGACCCAAAAACTAGGCTACCGCATCCCCTGCCTAGCATGGGGGGGAAGTCAATAGCAAAGTTTTTGAATAATCAACTAGCACATGAAACAATACAATCTGTTAACTCTAAAAAAGAGGTTCACTCTATCAAATCCAGTTCGAAGCGGCAAACACACGAGTCACTGAGCCAATCAACTAATGAGAAATGATAGAAATGAACCCCCTTTTTAAAATTGACAGACATGCATTGATATTGCTATGCATAATTTACACACCCATATATACACGCATACGCATACATACACACAAATACACACACATATACAACCACTTACACAAAACCAGACGCATTCGCACAATCACGCAAGCATTAGCAATGCAGTCGACGAAACAAAGTATTAGAAAAAAAACCCAAAGCAAAAGAAGTTTTGTCTAGTCAATCCCACCCCCATGTTTGCTTAATTGAAATGTCTTTCGTGCAATGAAATAAACAAAACACATCTCAATCGGTTCCACGGAACTTGGTGTTAAACTGTATTATGCTTGTAGGCTGTAGTGGGGTAGCCAATATGGGGTACAACCCCAACTAGGGTTTCATATTTGTACCCAAACTTCTGCTAGTTCATTCATTCTTGCCTAGTTACTTTGAGATGGTATTCAGAGCAGGAGGTCCCTAGGACCTACCGACCGTTTTTTTTTTTAAGGGCCCACCACCGCTCGCATGCGGTTACCACGCTACCCCGTGCCCTAGCCTCGTAGCGCCCTCGTGCGCCCTCGTTAGCGCCCTCGCGCGCCCCTCGTTAGCGCCCTCGCGCGCCCCTCGTTAGCGCCCTCGCGCACCCTCGTTAGCGCCCTCACGCGCCCCTCGTTAGCGCCCTCGCGCGCCCCTCGTTAGCGCCCTCGCGCGCCCCTCGCTAGCGCCCTCGCGCGCCCCTCGCAGAGTCGCCCGCCCGCCGCGCTGCCTGCTCGCAGCGTCGCCCGCTCGCCCCGCTGCCCGCTTCGCAGCCCGCTCGCCCCGCTGCCCGCTTCGCGGCCCGCCCGCCCGCTCGCTGCCCGCTTCGCGGCCCGCCCGCTTCGCTGCCCGCTCGCAGCGCCGCCCGCCCGCCCGCCCGCTACCTGCTTCGCAGCGTCGCCCGCCCGCCCGCTGCCCGCTTCGCAGCGTCGCCCGCTCGCTCGCTGCCCGCTCGCAGCGTCGCCCGCCCGCCCGCTGCCCGCTCACAACGTCGCCCTCCCGCCTCGCTGCCCGCTTGCAGCGTCGCCCGCCCGCCCGCTGCCCGCTTGCAGCGTCGCCCGCCCGCCCGCTGCCCGCTTCGCAGCCGCCCGCCGCGCTGCCCGCTCGCCGCGTCGCCCGCCCGTCCCGCTGCCCGCTTCGCAGCCCGCCCGCCACAATTCCCGCCTGCAGCGCCGCCCGCCTCGCCTGCTGCTCCCTGACTGTGCACCGCCGCTTGCTCCTGCTGTGGCTGCTAGCTTCGCTCTAGCGCGTCCCCTCTGCTGCTGCCGCTGCTCTGCTGTGCCCTCACGCCTGAGCTATGGCCTCTATTCGCGTTCTTTCCTTCGATGCTGAGGGCCGTCCCGTGCAGTTCACTTCCTGGCTCGATGACCTGCAGTTGTATCTTATGAGCAATAGCACGGACCACATCTCCCTCTATGACTACGCGTCTGGTGCTGCCGCTGCTCCTGCTGCCACAGCCGAGCTTAGTGTACGTTCACAGTGGCAGACTCGTGACGCTGCAGCTCGCCTGGCTATTCGCAGTCACCTGCCGTTAGCTGAGCTAGAGCACTTTGGCGACTGCAAAACCGCTAAGGCCCTATATGACGCTGTCGTTGCTCGCTACTCCTCACCTGCCACAGCCGAGCTTAGCCGTCTCATGCTGCCTTACCTGTTCCCTGACCTGTCCACCTTTGCTACAGTCGCCGATCTTATCACCCACCTTCGCACTAGTGATGCTCGCCTGCGTGCCGCCCTTCCCACCGAGTTCTGCGCTAAGAACCCCCCTCCCCTGTACTGGACACTCCACTTCATAGTCACCCGTCTCCCTGACACCCTCAGCTCAGTGCGCGACTATTTCCTTGCTCGCTGTCCCACTGAGCTCACTGTCGCCCTCCTAGAGGAGAAGCTGCTAGCAGCCGAGAAGAGCATTGTGGCTGTTGGTGCTGCTCGCGGCGCTCCTCGCACCCCCATCTTTGAGGGGTGCTCTCCCTCTCCCCTCGCTCCCTCCTATGCTACTGCTGCTGCTGTTGACTTCCTTGGTGCTGAGTCTGCTGGCGCTGCTTCTGCTCCTGGTGGGAGGCGCCGCACCGGCAAGGGCAAGGGGGGCAAGGGTGGCGGGGGTGGCGCTGGGGGGGGAGGGGGTGGGGGAGGTGGGGGGGGAGGCGGTGCTGGAGGGAGCGGTGGCGGGAGTGCCGGTGGGAGTGGGGCCGGCGGCGGAGGCGGGGGCGGCGGCGGGAGCAGTGGCGGTGGTGGCAGCGGCGGCGGTGGCGGCGGTGGCGGTAGTGGCGGTGGCGGTGGCGGTGGTGGCGGTCGGAGCGGAGGTAGTGGCGGCGGTGGAGGTCGGAGTGGAGGCACCGGCTCGGGCCAGAGCTCCCAGCAGCAGCAGCGTCCCCAGACGACTCATCAGCTTCGTGAGTGGCTTGCTCAGCGTGGGACGTCGGGGGGCAGTGGCCGCTGTTCCTATGTCATTCGCACAGGTGACCGCAAGGGACAGACGTGTGGAAAGTTCCACACTCAGTACCGCTGCTTCTTCCGCCTTGACGACGCTTGGCGTGAGGAGATGGGCGAGGATGTTGAGCGCCCTCGCTGGGCTGAGCTGATGAGGGCTGGTGTTGATATCTTTGCTCTTGACTATGATGCTATTATTGCTGCCATGTATGCATTGACTGTTAGTGCCGAGGGAGACTGTTACTTGTGTGTGCCGCCTGACCCAGGTATAGAGCCCGCTGCCCTAGGTGCTAGTGAGTCTGCTCTCTCTGGTATGGTGCCCCCTGTACCTGCTCCCTCCAGTGCTGTCCCGGCTGTTTGCGAGTCTGCTCTCTCAGGTACAGCACCCACAGAGACTGCTCTCTCAGGTACCGCACCGGCTGAGGCCTGTCACACCTTCACCCTTGACTCAGGTGCTTCCCGCTGTTTCTTTCGTGACAGTACTGAGCTCACACCGCTTCCTGCACCGGTCCCAGTCTCCTTGGCTGACCCCTCTGGGGGCCCAGTCCTTGCCCAGTCCACCACTGTGCTCCCTTGTCCGGCGGTTCCGTCTGGCTCGTTGACGGGTTTCCACCTCCCCTCGTTCTCGACGAACCTGGTGAGCAACGCTGTCATCCAGGATCAGTGGGTTGACACCTTTACCCCTGGAGGACAGCGTGTGGCGATCTGCACGTGCTCCAGGACCGGCCGTCACCTGGCTACGTTTACCCGTCGGCCGGGGTCGAGTCTCTACACACTGACCACTGCGTCTCCTCAGGTCGCTGCTGTCGGTCAGGTGTCTGCGTCAGGTCTGGTAGCCCACGCCTGTGAGTGTCGTTCCCTGTCGCACCAGACTCTTCTCTGGCACCACCGCCTGGGTCACCCCTCCTTGCCACGCCTTCGTGGCATGCACCGTCGCCACCTTGTGTCTGGTCTTCCCAGGTCCCTCCCTCCCCTCCCTGCCTCGCCTGCGCCGCCTTGCCTTCCTTGTGTCGAGGGGCGGCAGCGCGCCGCTCCTCACTCCTCCTCGTTCCCCCCGACAGAGGCTCCTCTGCAGACCCTCCACCTGGACGTGTGGGGCCCAGCCCGCGTTCGTGGTCAGGGCGGTGAGCGGTACTTTTTGCTGGTTGTCGACGACTACTCGCGTTACACCACGGTCTTCCCCTTGCGCACCAAGGGTGAGGTCCCTGCTGTTCTGATCCCTTGGATCCGCACGGTTCGTCTCCAGCTCCGCCGCCGTTTCCGGACGGATCTTCCTGTCCTGCGTCTGCACTCTGACAGAGGTGGTGAGTTTTCCTCCGATCTCTTGAGGACCTTCTGTCAGGCGGAGGGCATCGAGCAGACCTTCACGCTTCCGGACTCCCCGCAGCAGAATGGGGTTGCTGAGCGCCGCATTGGCCTGGTCATGGAGGTCGCTCGTACCTCCTTGGTCCACGCGGCGGCTCCCCATTTTCTGTGGCCGTTTGCTGTCTGGTACGCCGCGCATCAGCTCAACCTCTGGCCCCGTGTCTCCTTGCCGGAGACCTCGCCCACACTGCGTTGGACGGGGGAGGTTGGCGATGCGTCGCGCTTCCGGGTGTGGGGTGCTCGTGCCCTTGTCCGCGATACGTCCGCGGACAAGCTCTCCTCCCGCACGCTTCCCTGTGTCTTCCTTGGCTTTGTCCCTGACGCGCCTGGCTGGCAGTTTTACCACCCCACCTCGCGCCGGGTCTTCGCCTCTCAGGATGTCACCTTTGACGAGTCGGTCCCTTTTTACCGTCTCTTCCCCTACCGCACTGCCCCCCTCCCTCCCCCACCGCTTTTCCTTGCTCCTGGCCCCCCTCCGGTAGACCCGGCCGCTAAAGTCTCTTCTGCTTCTGCGTCTGCTCTGGTCGCTGAGTTGGTTGACTTTGCTGCTGCCTGTCGTCTCGACTACGCTGCTAGCCTTGTTGCTGAGTCAGAGTCTGCGTCTGTCTGTCCTCCGTCCGTCGGGGGTGAGTGTGCTCTTGGCACGGACGTCCTTGAGGACAGGCAGGAGGACTTTGACTCTCTCGCGGCTGCTGTACCTCATCTCGTGGCCTCGTTGCTTGCCCCTGAGGGAGACCCGGATGCACTAGACATCCCCACTCCGCGCACTTACGCAGAGGCGATCTCGGGTCCCTACTCCTCTCAGTGGCAGACAGCCATGGACGCAGAGATGGCATCCTGGAAGTCCACAGGCACCTACGTCGACGAGGTTCCCCCTCCTGGGGCGAACATCGTCGATGGCATGTGGATTTTCAGGGTGAAGCGGCCGCCAGGTTCTCCGCCTGTCTTCAAGGCTCGTTACGTTGCTAGAGGCTTCAGTCAGCGTCAGGGGGTCGACTTCTTCCAGACCTTCTCCCCCACCCCGAAGATGACCACTCTTCGGGTTCTGTTGCACGTTGCTGCTCAGCGTGACTACGAGCTTCACTCTCTTGACTTCAGCACAGCGTTCCTGCAGGGCAGCCTGCACGAGGAGATCTGGCTGCGCCGTCCACCTGGCTTTACTGGGTCGTTTCCTCCTGGTACCCAGTGGAGCCTCCGCCGGCCAGTCTACGGTCTCCGCCAGGCGCCACGTGAGTGGCACGACACACTGAGGACTACACTTGCGGCTCTTGGGTTCGCGCCGTCTACTGCTGACCCGTCGCTGTTTCTGCGCACAGACACGTCGCTGCCGCCGTTCTACATTCTCGTGTACGTCGACGACTTGGTCTTTGCTACTGCTGACACTGAGGCACTCGCTCGTGTGAAGTCGGAGCTGCAGAAGAGACACACCTGCACTGACCTGGGTGAACTGCGTAGCTACCTTGGCTTGCAGATCACCCGGGACAGAGCTCGCCGCACCATCACCCTGACTCAGTCACACATGGTGCAGCAGGTCCTTCAGCGCTTCGGCTTCCAGTTCTCCTCACCACAGGCCACACCTCTGGCTACCAGCCACTCGCTCTCAGCTCCACCTCCGGACGAGTCCGTAGAGCCGAGTGGCCCGTACCCAGAGCTTGTGGGCTGCCTCATGTACCTGATGACTTGCACGCGACCTGACCTCGCGTACCCTCTTAGCATCCTTGCTCGTTACGTTGCGCCTGGGAGACACAGGCGAGAGCACTGGGAGGCTGCTAAGAGGGTGCTGCGCTACTTGTGCAGTACATCAGGCATGGGGCTGGTGCTTGGAGGACGCGACAGAGTTGTCTTCACTAGCCACTCGGACGCTTCTTGGGTGGACGACCTGGCTACGCAGCGGTCGTCACAGGGTTACACCTTCAGCCTTGGCTCTGGTTCTGTCTCGTGGCGGTCCACCCGCTCTTCCTCTGTTCTCGGCTCTAGTTGTGAGGCTGAGATCTACGCCACAGCCATTGCTGCACAGGAGTTACGCTGGCTCACCTACCTGCTGACTGACTTGGGAGAGCGGCCTAGTTCTCCTCCAGTTCTGTACGGTGACAACAAGGCGGCTCTTGCCTTGTGTCAGGAGCACAGAGTGGAGCACAGGACGAAGCACATTGCTCTTCGCTACTTTCTTGCTCGAGAGCTTCAGCAGCGCAGTCAGCTTCGGCTTGTGTACGTGGACTCGAAGGCCAACACTGCTGATATCTTCACCAAGGCGCTCCCGCCTAGTGATCATCAGCGGCACTGTACTTCTTTAGGCCTTGTGTCCACGTTTCCTCACTTGCTCACTGCTTGACATTCTTTGTACTGTACTTTATATATATCTTGTTACTTGCTTGCTAGGTTTTGATCACTGTGTTGTTTGTCTTGTACTATATCTAGCACTGCATGTGAACTGGCCTTGTGGCCTTTACTTGTGCTCGGAGCGTGGTGACGTTGTGATCCACCCTGGGCTTTGCTTTGCTTTGCTGGACTGGTCTTGTGACCCTTTGTTCTCCCCCACTTTGCCTATGGGGGTGTGTTAAACTGTATTATGCTTGTAGGCTGTAGTGGGGTAGCCAATATGGGGTACAACCCCAACTAGGGTTTCATATTTGTACCAAAACTTCTGCTAGTTCATTCATTCTTGCCTAGTTACTTCGAGACTTGGACTTCACAGCCGCTGCAAGGAAAAAAAAAATCAAACGTAAGTTGAAAACGCAGTAATAAGTCATATAATATTGAAACAGTCAAATTAATCATTTAAGATTATCAATACACGCACGTCAAACCTCCTCTTCGTAGGTGTTGAAGATGGTTGTGTGCTCGACGTGTCAAAGCTGACGGGAGTCGCACTTGACTGCGTGGCGCTCACATCAAGTATGGTCTTGATGACGCGCCCCTCCTCAAGACCAAAGTGAATCTGCTCATAGAATGGCAAGGAGAAGGAAATAAGTGAAGCAAGGAATGAGAGAAAAGGACAGAAAGGGAGATTAGAGAAGGAAGAAAAGATGAAATATGAAGAACTGACATAAGGAAAAGAGGGAACGAGGGAACGAGGGAAAGAATGAAAGGAAGAAGTCATGTTGAAAGAAATGAAGGTATACATGAAATGAGAACGATGTATAACCGGTTTCATCTCAAAGATAAGGTTTTCAAAAGCATAGATAATAAAGAGAAGTGTTGGTATATAACATACTCGCTGTATGTGTGATACGCTTATCTACCTTGAAGACCCAATCCACGTACCTTTACGAGCCAACGACCTCGAAGAGCGGCCAACATGCGTTGGCGCTCATCCAAGGGCAAAGAGAGAAAGGTGGACATCTGAAGATGCGGAACCACCTTGGTCAAAATGCTCGGCTGAATCACCAAGCCATGCGCCTGAGCCGTGTATGACACTGGAAAAATAGGAAGACATAATAGCAAACTTTATTGCAATAATACAACATGCAACATTGTAACAAAATATATGCACACGGTACTTACCGCCCTCTTGTACGACAAGCGTGACGGTGACGTCGTCGATCTGGGTGATCGACGAGGATCCATGCTCGTCGCATTCGTACTCGCGCGAGAGACATGATCGGAAAACAGGCAGTGGACAGATAGAGTCCTCCGGACCACCCTTGCACACTCTGCAAGAGTTGTGTAAAGGATCCTTGATTTCAGCCACGAGGGACGCTATCTTCTCCTCTTTGTTGTCATCACGAGTGTGTCCACACTACTCATCCTGAATATAAAAAACATGAACAATCTTAACAATCGTCTTACTTATATACTGTTAATATGCGCTAGTATATCCACTTACAGCTGCACGAGGCCGACGTCTTGTGGTTCCTCTGTGACGTGAGGATCTGTGATCTCCAACGCTCGTCGAGAGTCAAGAATGACTGCGCTGGAAAGCATTGTTGTCGTAAACAATGCGTTCTTTAGATAGACGTTGCTAATGTAAACTGGCACGTCTGTTGCATCACTGTGCTCTTCCAAATATGTCTTACAGCACTGGTGAATCCGTGTGGCAGCGTCCCCCAAAGATACCAAGAGACGAATCGTGGATGCTAGCTGTGAGCTTAGGCCATCCACCCGGCCACTCAAGCGTAGGGGCATTGAGCCTGACAGAAATGCAAGGGATCTGGGAATGTAGAAAAGTGAAGTATAACATTACGAATATGAAAGAACTCAATAAGTGGTGATATGACAAATGATCATCTGCAATGTAAGAACATCAACCAAACCAGATGAACCAAAACCATACAGAAATTATGCTAAGCAGTAAGTATCAAACGATTTTCAGTTGGAAACATGAAGAAGAAGTGGCAGTACGGTTTGAAGAAAAATACACATTTCCAAGATGAACACAACCAATTCGTTAAGTGTAATAATTTTGTTCTTACCCTGGAGTCGTCTCTCGGCCCAAAAAAACTCTCGAGCGTCGGAGTGGGCACGTCCCCCACGGTCAGCTGCAAGCCTCCCCTATCCTCCACCATGTATGAACAGCGGTGTAACCAGAGCAGCTGCAAATCAAGGCCTCCAATAACCGACCTGTACAAAATCAGATGTATTAATAAGACCATCTAAGTGTAGACATGCATATGCTCAAGTGTTGACTAAACGTACCAGCTAGGGTGTGCGCGCAAAGCATTGACCCGGCGAACTCGATAGACTTCCCCAATAGAAATCCCCATCAAGAACTCGTTCACTACTCGCACATCGCATGGGATCAATCCTGTGGTCTCAGGCCACAAGACCATCTCGCTGGTAGAACGCTCCACATCAAAGAGGAGAACCTTTCCTGGCGAAATCTTTCCGTTGCTCTTGACGAATGAGTTCTTGGTCGACATCACCATCGCCTTGAAATGGTAATCAGAGGGCCTCTCCTCTCCAGGATCTCCCAACCAAGACTCCATGAACTTGAACGTAACTTCAGCAGTGGCCTGCAAGTATAGCATTGTACTAGTGAATTGTAAACCAAGGTGGAAAATGATTATGTGCGTTTTAGCATGTGTTACGTTTATTTCCAAGTACACAAATCAAACCGAGACTTGCCTGGGTACGGTTGTGCGGGCGGGGAAATGGTCCTGCTCTCAAAACCACATGGAATTTGGGACGTAAAAGAATAATACTGCAATCGTTGATATACGTACGTGCCATTTTGAAAGTGCATCAATCAATGAGAACATAAATAGGAAAGTGGTCGGAAAAATAGGTTTCACCAACATAGACTTTAATATTAGTCTTGAAGCAATTTGCCCATACATGATCAATAAGTGTATTATTCACTGTAGTTGGTTCAACAATGAATTGAGAAAAACCATGCCGTTTGAAGAAATGATCATATCGCCGTTGTGGATTAGCAATCAAATTAATATTGAAATCGCCGATGAATATCATGTCATCATGCGGGTATTTAGTCATGATGGATAGGATCATATCAAAGAGGATCTGATGATTACGATTATCAGTT